TTTGTTCCAAGTCACCTACGTAGCAAGTTTGACAAGAAGGCAGTCCGATGTATCTTTGTGGGATACGACAGCCAAAGAAAAGGGTGGAAATGTTGTGATCCCACGACTGGAAGGTGTTACACATCACGAGATGTGGTGTTTGATGAAGCATCTTCTTGGTGGTTCTCAGAAAAGGAGGCGTTGCCTGATTCGAGAGAGATAGAAGATAAGTTGCAGTAAAAGATGGGGGAGCAAATTGTTCGAATCCAGTCGAGACCAGATAAGTATGAGGATTCACTTGATGGTGATGGTGTTAAGCAAGCACTGCCTCAAAACCCTTGGCAAGCTGACGTATATCAACAACCAGAAGAAGATAGACCTAGTGAAGTGGAAGTATCGACTCCACAATCACAACCAAGGAGGTCAACAAGAATTTGGAAACCAAATCCTAAATACACCAACGTAGCCATAGAAGAAGAAACAGTTAAACCTGAGTGGCTTAAAGTTGGGAGAATAGGTCATTGCAGTGGAGCTAAATCAAGCTTGGAATCTAGTGCCAAAGCGAAGAGATGTAAAACCCATATCATGCAAATGGATGTTCAAGAAAAAGTTTCATCGTCAACTCAGCATAGAGAGAATAATGAGATGGTGTTGAGGGGAAGTGTTAAAGAAATCAACCCCATCTCATTAAAGGACCTACACAAATCTAGAATAAAGAATTCTAGAACATTAACTAAGGTTGGTTAGCTAGATTATTCAAGTTAGAGTTGTGTACTCTAAGTTTTTTCCCCAACAAAACATCATTCGGATCAGTCCATTAAGTTTTTGGGTCAAACTGCAGGTTTGAAGCTCTTCATACATTTTTAAGTTACCACATTGCAGGTGTAGAGTTCAAGCAAGTAATTGATAAAATCTCCCTTTAACCTTAAGCTAGTCAAAACTCATTTCTCCTCGCACCCTCCATAAGGGCTTACTAGCCATACTGATATTGAACAAACAAAAATTGGTTACTCATGGCATTTGCCAAGGGTATTTTATGGTTAGCAATAAATTACCTAACAAAACAGAAAGTCAAGACCAACCTTGTTACGGAGAAATTTTTTGTTATGACGGAAACACAAATGGTACACTACATGCTTTAATAGGAGTGGTGGGAAATTTTATTTATTAAGTTATTAACCTTTTAGCACACATATCTCATTATTTGTATAGTGACACGTGGTGTACCACCCTATGTACCGGCCACACTAAAAAATCTCTCCTTGTTATGGGTCTAATGGTCTAACTACAAACTCCATAACTTTTAATAAAAAAAATAATTAAATTTAAACTTGTGATATGATAAATTTTCTTTAAAATGTAAAAGGGATTGAAGGGAAATAAATTTTCTTTAATATAGCAAATAGAGGTAGTATATGCATTATAAAAATAAATACATAAATAAATAAAAACATGGAGTTCTCTCCCGTTTGGTGGGAGCTCTTCTCTCTCCCTGGGAGTGTTTCTCACTAGTTTGTGAGTGTTTTTCCGTTCATCCTCAATTTCGAAGCCACCGATCCTAGCTCTGTCTAGGGTTGGTGATAGTATTTCATTTCTATTTTCTTCTTTCTTCTTCCCTTTCTTTCTCCCCCAACTTGTTTTTCCTCTATTTGGCTAGATAGGTCTCATCCATCACCTCTACTTTCCTCTAATTTCACTATCCTTTGGTTCAAACTCCCCTTCCCTTTACCTCCATGATCAATCCACTCCATAACCTTCTTCATAAAATCAATCCTTCATCGATCTCGTCCGAATCTGCACATACAAATCTTCAACGCGATTTCTCGCGATCTTCCTAGAAGCTGCATAGAGCTTCGGCTCGGGTGTTCACACCACCACCTCCTTCCTTCTCTTTACTTTTGTTGTCACTGGTATTTGCGGGTTGGTTTTTCCCATGTGTTTCTTTTGATTTGTGGTGGAGATTTCAGTGGTGCCCTTTGGAGAATGTAAGTGTTTCTTCTTCATCCAGTTTGGGGACCATGTTTGGCCTGATTTCAGGGGTTGGGGGCGACGGTCTGAGATGGTGGGTAAGAGGCGGTCCAGTGGCAATGGAAATTACAAGTTGTTAGGGTTTGTTTCTGTTTTTTTGGTGTTGGGCCTAGAACCTAGTTTTGGGTTTTTTGTTTTACTTTGGAGGTCCACCTTTGTGTTGTGTGGATATTGTAATTGGGCTTCTCTCTTGTAATTATGTTGTCTTAGTAATGAACTTACCTTTCATCAAAAAAAAAAAAAAAAGGACATGCTCCATTTTTATGGAGTATGGTGGTGAACAGAGAATCCAAACTCTAAAAAATATTTTGGGAATTGTGTTTCAGAGTAGGGTTGGAGGAAGTTTATGCATGAAAATGATGTTTTAAAGTGGGATTAGAAATGCCCTTATGTTCCCAATGTTAGTTACGGTCTCAAATTTGAATCCTCACGCTGTCGTTGAATGAAAAAACAACGGAAAAGTTATTTTCGCATGTAATTTTCTTTTGATATATCCGTTGTTTTTTATTGATCTTTAAATATTGTTTGTTTTTTTTCCTGGTCTTTAAAAAAAAGTCAAACAGACTATAAAGGTAAGAGGTTTAGAACTTTTGGTGCATTTCATTTAGGCAATGTGAGTTCAAAAAGAGAGGTTTCATCTTTCATAATCATAAAACACACAAGTATTAAAACATTACATATTAAATTTCAACCATGAAAGCTACACGCAAACAAGAAAAGAAAACCAAAATTGTTCTAGATGGTTGTGTTCCTTTTACATCTTGGATTCGGAGAGTCGGTTGAAAAACCTGAATCCAGAATGCAAATAAAAAGAAACTACAATGGGTGAAAAATAAAATTTTCTCTTATAAATAACTTTTATTATTATTTAATTTCAAATTAAAATAATTATAATTGATAGAATTCAATTGGTCTAATTTGGGACCGGCAGAGAGTTATCCATCCTACAAACATCTCAAGATTCAAAAAAGAATACTAATGCAGTCCCTATATTTATTTCTGGCCTTCAAGGAGCCGTACGAGGTGAAAATCTAATGTACGGTTCTAAAATAGCGATGGTAACAGTGATGGTATCACCGACTATAATTATCTAACGGTTCAAGTACAGTTGATAAATAGTACTCTGGAATTATTTATAGGGCTAAATTAGATAAATAAACTTCTAGCCTCCCATCTAATTCATTCTCATCCCACCTACCCTCTTGATTGTCTAGTTCGTAAACCTACATGAACAATGAGGGGTGAGCTTCAACAACTCGGTATGAACATAATCCTTTCACAATAAATTGACCAAACTAATTTAAGTGGCAACATACAATCAAATATCAAATTATTATCAATAACCAATGCATGATTGCAATGCGATTTAACGTCCTTTACCCAACCCAATAATCATTTTGCTTGGGCTTTTTACTTTATTTGTAGTTGGCTTAATTAGATTAATAGTTCCCGTGGTGATAGGGTAGTCAGAAGGTAACCCCTGTGGTAAAAAAAAAAAAAAAAAAAAGGATTTAAGCCCTGTGGTGAAGTCTGTTAGGATTTCACACAAAATTGAAAATTCCATCAACTCTTTATCAATTGAGGTTCACATGTGAGGCTAAAAGGATAAGGTTAGCCTCACATGTAAGCCTCACATACTAACAATTAACATAAAGTTCCGTTTTAGCCTCATATTTGTGGCTCATGTGCTAATAATTAACAGAGAATTGAATAAATTTTTTATTTTAGGTTTAAATCTTAACAGACTTTACCACAAGGGTTTAAATCCTATTTGTTTACCACGATAACTATCTTTTTATTACCACAGAAACTAATAATCTAATTAGGCCCTTATAGTTAGTTGTTTACCTAATTTTTATTTATTTTTTTTTTTAGCCTTGTATCAGTTTTTAATGTAACGAAAATATCTTGCTTGACAAATAAAAAAAAAACAAAAAAGAAAGATAGGATTTTCTAGAAGCATAATATTTTTCCAACAATGCCAACCTGAGCTATATACAAAACTTGACGAATCGAGTGTGGACAAGTTTTCTTTTGGGTTAGTAAAAAAAACCAGCGGAAACACCGTCACATTTATGTTATCGGACTGCTCCGAAAGTAACATTTCACCTAACTATCTTTCTTTTCTTTAAATAATTAATCACATTACACTAATTGATGTGCTATGAGAATAAGAAGTTGTAAAATAAAACAATAAAGTGTTTGGTAATTTTTTTTTTGTAAAAGTGCTTTTGGAAAAGGAAAAAAAAAAGTATTATAGTGTTTGGTAAACTTTGATGTAAAACAACTTCGATTGTGTGAAATGACTAAAAAAATGTATATTACTAGATGTGCTATTAATTTAATTTTCTTAACAAATAAAAGTGAATTATTAAATATATTTTATTTTTAAAAGAAAAATATTTATAAACTTTATCTTAAACATATAATTCAACGTATAACAAGAAATCATAATCCAACATTCACCATATAATCCAACATTTATGCTGCTTCATATTTTCAGTTTTTTTTCAAAACTCATTTTTGCTGCTTCAAGCTTTTAGCTTTTTCCACCCAAAACTGTAAAAATAAACTGCTTTTAAGTGTTTACCAAATATTTTTTTGAGGTCAGTTTTTTTTTTATATCTACTTTTCATAAAAGCACTTCAGTATCAAACCAGTACTTAATAACAATTAATAAGAAGGACTTGTCACTGCTTTCACATCACGAGACACCCAAGTAGCTCAACTAGGGAGGTAGATTGTCTGCCCTTCTGTTTGTGTGGTCACGATTAACTCACGTCAACATTTTATATTGATTTTTTTTTATAAAGATAATAAGATAAAAAACAATAGAAATATAAAATATTGATATAACTTAACCGTGATCGGATAAAATAAGAGGAAATAAAAATGGGATCCAAACAGAAGTGCAGGCAATCTACGTCGCTCAACTAGTGGGGCCAACGTGGACCAAAAGTCAATTGACATGTCGTTCCTGGCCAATGCCCCTTCCAGATTCACAAATGTTATCTAACCTTGTTCTTGTGTTTATATTCTTCTGGCAAAATTTTATCTAAATGTGCAAAACTTCAAATTTGCAGAGTGCAGTTAGTAGCAGTAATATATAGATTATACATCCAACTCCAGGACCAGAAACAATGGACACCATTTTTTCAGTCATGTTCATTGCCTTTCAGGTGTCGCTCTCTCTCTTCAAACCCTCACTTGCCGCTGAAGCTATTACTCGATCCCAAACCCTGAGAGATGGCAGATTTCAATTGGGTTTTTTCAAGACTGGTGTTTACAGGAGTCTACTGGCTTCAGCTTCAAGAGACATCTGTGACAATTACAGCCGTTGCGGCCCCAACGGAATGTGTGACATTAGCAATTCAGAAGTTTGCAGCTGCTTAAAAGGGTTCCAACCAAAAGACCCTCAGAATTGGAACTATGGAGATAATTCGGCAGGTTGCGTGCGTGTTAAGCCGCTGATATGCCAAACCGGAGATGTGTTTTTTAAATATGGGGGTGTGAAGTTGCCGGATGCCACAAATTCTCGGGTGGAACAAAGTAGGAGTGTTGAGGAATGCACGGAAAATTGCTTGAATAACTGTTCATGTATTGCTTATGCAAGCTCTAGTGTCAAAGGAGGAGGCAGTGACTGCACTGTTTGGTTTGGTGATCTGATCAGCCTTAGGCAGCTTCCTGACAGCGGGCAGGATCTATATGTCCGAATGCTTGCTTCTGAATCAAGTATGTCAAACCCTTATTTTCTTTCTCCTTAATAAGTATTTAGGAGTGCTAGTGACATCAAATCATTGTTTAACTGTTCAACTTGCCCCCACCTTTATGTTCTTCTCGTAATTTTGTCATTGATGATGATGTTGAAGTTTTAACTTTAATGTTGCTTTGCCCTGTTGAATTGACTATGGTGCAGAAAATTCGCCTAAGACGAAGATAATAGCGATAGCTGTATCCGCTGTTTCCATTGTTTTGGGGATTTTCTTAGCCGTCTACTACACTTACAGAAGGAGGCAAAAGTTCAAAGGTAACATTTCTTCTCTAACCACAAAACTACATTCAACTTTGTATAACACATGTCCGTTAATCCATATATATCATCATGTTTCCGAATTGGTAAATTCAGGTTTAGTAGTTCCCATGCAGTTTGTTGTAACTGAAGCTTCTGTTTCGACACTATATGCATACAACAAAAATATGGAAAGTTTAAGAGAGTAGCTATACATGCGAGTTTGTTAAATGTTCTTAATCACTTTAGCTACAAGTCTCTTAGTATATTTTCATATAAATGGAGCCCGGACATATGACCTAACTTCCGGTTCACATACAATGTATCCAATTTAGTCCCTCACTGTTTTGTCTATTTTAGTTAAGACAACTTTTCTGTTATTGTACTTGATGATCACATTTTTCTTCTTCTTTGTATTAGAGAAACTGGGGAAAGATGGAATGATGGTTCAGAACACTGCAGGACAGAAAGAAGACCTGGAGCTACCTTTGTTTAGCTTGTCCACATTAATCACAGCGACTGATAACTTCTCGTTCAACACGAAGCTTGGAGAAGGTGGTTTTGGATCTGTGTACAAGGTAAATTTCTAACATTGTGCACATAAGAAGCGTAAACTCGAGGGAAGCAACTGTTTTGTTCAAAACATCGTAATCCTTTCACTAAAGAGAATTTACAGGGTAGACTAGAAGATGGCCAAGAAATGGCAGTGAAGAGACTGTCACAAAGTTCTGGTCAAGGACAGGCCGAGTTCAAAAATGAAGTTATACTGATAGCCAAACTTCAGCACCGGAATCTTGTAAAGCTTATTGGTTGTTGCATTGAGGGAGATGAGAAATTGCTGATTTATGAATACATGCCAAACAAAAGCTTGGACTTCTACATCTTTGGTTCGGATTCTTTAAAACTTAATAATACTGTTTGAATTAGTTTTAGTGCTACAAATATCGTATAATAGGTTCTAAGACTCTTGAATTTGCATCTTTGAGAATTTAAATTTTAGTGTGATGGATTTGAACTTGCTAGATCAAACTCAAGGTAGAAAGTTGGATTGGTCTCGACGCTTCCACATTATTCTTGGGATCGCTAGGGGACTCCTCTATCTGCATCAAGATTCCAGACTGAGGATTATTCATAGAGATCTTAAAGCCAGTAATGTGCTGCTTGACAAAGATATGAACCCGAAAATCTCAGACTTCGGCATGGCTAGACTTTTTGGAGGAGATCAAACTGAAGCAGTTACAAAACGAGTTGTTGGAACCTAGTAAGTATTACAATGCATCTCTGTCTATTATCTACTATAGCATACTACTTTCATAATTGAAGTGTTTTGTTACTTGTGACATATGACAGTGGCTATATGGCACCAGAATATGCGATTGATGGTCATTTCTCTATAAAATCCGATGTTTTCAGCTTCGGTATTTTACTGCTGGAGACACTGAGTGGAAAGAGAAGTAGAGGGTTTTATGATCCAAATCACAATCTCAACCTAATTGGACATGTGAGCATCAACTATTGAATTCCTCATTTCCTTGTGTTTGATTTTGTGACTGACGATTTGACATGATGTATGTGCCTCAGGCGTGGCGATTGTGGAAAGAAGGTCGGTCTTTAGAGCTGATTGATGAATACTTAACAGACTCGTGCAGTCTATCGGAAGTCTTGCGTTGCATACATGTTAGTCTTCTATGTGTGCAACAGCTTCCTGAAGACAGGCCAACCATGTCATCTGTGGTTCTGATGTTAGGTGGTGAGGGTGCATTGCCTCAACCCAAAATGCCAGGTCTCTTTATAGGAAAATACTCATCATCTGAAGCAGAATCTTCGAGTAAGAACGAAACATTTTCCCTTTCCGGTGTGAAAAAAGAAACATCTTCAACGATTGAATCTTCCATAACCGTGTTGGAGCCTCGATAAGATTCACTAATTATCACATAACTCGCTTTTGCATTCTGAAAAATGCAGAAGTAGGAGACGAGAACTCAGACAACTATTTCTATTTGTGGCAGAGCTTTGGCTATCCTTCAGATACCTATTTACTAAAGGAACTGAGCGAAGCTTGGCAGCTGGGACTTCAAAGATTGGTCATGAGTTTTTATCAATTACCTGTTAAGGTTTCAGACACCTGATCCAACGGGTTACTACTAGTTAGTCCAACACTGATATTGTCGTCAAATTAATTATATGCACGGCCCAATAGTAATGAGATTTTATATAAAAGGCCACAACAAATTAACAACAAATTAGTAGTGACATAACTTTACCATAATAAATTGACCAAATCTAATTAAGTGGCATCATACAATCAAATATCAAATTATTATCAATAAGAATGCCTGATTGCAATGCGATTTAACGTTATTTACCCACCCTGTTAATCTATTGATAAAACAATGGGACCTCCATATCGCATACCATGTACAAAATCAACTCTTGGAGGGATGAGAATTTCACTTAATGTCACACTTTTTCTTTTCCATTTTCAAAGTAGGATTTTGTCATATTCGGATGCTTGTTTTTTTTTTTTTTTTCAAAACCGAATTGAATAAATGATGACATGGACGAATACTAAAGTTGATTTTCACAAATCATCGTCTTAGGAGCTCTAATCCCTCAAATTGACCCCTTTTAACCAAATTAAATCGTAAATTTGCTTGGCTAAAAATGGAAAAATTTGGAGATTCAAAGCTACATTGATGACTTGCAAGCTTTAATATATGTCCATGTCATCATTTACTATTAATAAACCTAACAGATGTCCATTTTTCAAAACGTTAGTTATTTGGAATGTTTTAAAATGTTATGATTAATTTGGAATCACCCTTAAAGGATGGGTATGTTTTCATACTTAACCTATTATTTATTCAATCTTTATGCTTATAGTATTGTTGAACATCTGTCTTACATTGAGAAGAAATCAAGAAAATAAAATACAATAGATATGTGTATGGTTCCACTCCTCATAACTTCGTGCCTTTTGTGTGAAACCGCCACACATGCCGTTCTTTGCAAATGACAAATTGCAAGTTGGATGATACTATCATTGTGGTTAGAAATGACCAATGATCTGCTTCTTTGTTTATCAGATACGGTATCATAGTGGGTTCCTAAAGGTCCACATTGCGTCCGAGTTATTGAGTTTAATGTAAACCATGCTTTCACACTTAATGATCGATGTAGGATTAGTTGCATATGTGGCCCACTATGTAGCAGTCCTACGTAGGGAAGCACGTTGAATATACGTCACACGTTGAAAATTTTATAAAAATAAAATACAATATATAAATGTTTGGTTCCGCTTCTAAAACTGTCCAGACCTTTTGTGTAAAACTACCACACTTGATGTTATGTTCAATTGGCAAGATGCAAGTTGAAGGACAATATCGTGTAAATTATAAGTGTGTCAATGACACGTCTCTTTGAATATCTGGCAAATATATAATCAAGATTTTCTAGAAGCCTAATCTCATTTTTTTTCTTTCTTAAAAAAAAAAAAAAGTATTTTCTAGAAGCCTAATATTTTCCAACAATGCCAACCAGAGCTATATGAAAAAACTTGACGAATCGAGCGTGGACAAGTTTTATTTATTTGTATTAGTCAAAAAGCCAGTGGAAACATCGTGACATTTATGTCATCGGACTGCTCTGAAAGTAACATGTCACCTGCCCTTCTTTCTTTTCTTTAGATAATTGAGCACATTAGACTAATTACCATCACTAGGGTTTAGTAGCAAGGACTTGTCACTTAAGGTTTCACAACACGAGACACTCAAATCCTTAGCATTGATGCCAAATGACATAATCTTAATGACTTTAATGGGACACAGGGCGCATCTGCAGTTGTTTCATCTTAAAATTATAACGTTTTGCATGCACCTTTCAATTGATCGTGGCGTTTTACATATATAATAAGATATTATATGAGATAAAAAAAAAACGTGATGCTGTAGTATTGGTTTTACCAACCAACCATAACGTCTTAAGGATGTATATTGAAGAAAGTCGAGATTTCATTATAAAATTAATTAACAATATGATGAGCATCCCAACTACGTATAAGCACATGCAACGTCCCTCCACTCAGCAAAATAGAATTCATTCTCAACAATACATAACCATTCTTCAAATTAGAGAATCATGTGAACGATAAATACCTACTTTAGAAGTTGGGAATTGTTATTAGCATTTCAAAAATCTTATTCTACACTCCAAACTTTCTATATTAGGAAAGAAAAAAAAACATTTTTAAGAAGCGTAGAATGAGATTTTTGGTGTGCCAATAACACTTCGCTAATAATTTTAACCGTTAAATCTTGATTAGTGTAAGCTTTGATGAAATTTAATGGCGAAAAATCCTTTTAAGTTCAAAATTCCCCAATAATTCAATTTTAGCTCAACTAGTGGGGTCAAGGTGGACCAAAAGTCACCTGAATTGCGGCTCCTGGTCAGTGCCCTAAAATCTATTTCGCCTTGAAATACTGTTCATAATCACAGTGTTGTTCCGGTTTTACCATCTATTCGGTTCTGTTATTTCAAGTCTGCCACTGTTTATGTATACCAATATTTGTTTCTCCGTTTCTTCCTCCTGCCTTCTCTCTTCCCTTCCGCGCGCAACTCACCACGCCTCCCAACCACGACCCAATTCTTGCCGATCGCCGGCGAATTGGGGCTCTCCGTTACCTGGAAACAAATTCTCTCACTCTTAGGAAATACGTTAAGGTATTGCATGTTCAATAGTACTTCATTTTAAGATGAATGGAAGGAAACTGTATAATCTGCATAAGAATGCCCTTGAGCTGGAGGGATTGTCTAAGGTTTTGTGTGTGTGTGTCTGTAACTTTGCATCTCTTCTTTCAGAGCATTATCTCAATATATTCAACTTAGGAGAGTCCCAACAACAACATTCGAGTTTTGCATGCCCGAATCTGCCCCTAGACCGAGGAGTTCCATAAACCCAGCTCGCGGTGGGTTTTTCCGACGGAGATCTGAGTTTTTTCCGACCGGTTTCAGGCCTTTCCGACCTTTTTTGGGTTCGGCGAAGGTGATATTCTTACTCTACACCCTCAAATTTGCTTAGGTTGTGAATTCGGTGTGCAACGGTTGAGTTTTAAAGCTAATCGAAATCAACTTACTCATAAATTAATTTACTGTTCATACCAACAGTAGTATTAGGAATCGCATGCTTATGCTTTCATATTTATGAAATTAATTTACTCATGTCTTTATCAGATCGATTGACCTGTTTTTTTAGAATTCTTTGTTTAAATTTGCAGGGTTTAGGACAATTTTTCTTTTGATATGATTTTTTTTATCTGAATTATTCATTTAATTTCTGAGATCTTTTATCAAATCTCCAAATTGACTCATAATGATTAGGCTTGAAACAGATGTTGTAAATCAGTTTTGGTGGAGGAGTTGTTCCGCAGCCTGAGGAAGAACAGAAGAATGTTTTTGAAATAAGGTCTGATCGAAACTTTTCTATAAAATTTCGCAATTTTTGAGTTTTAAGCCATTCAAATTGGTTTGTTAAGTAGGTTACCTATTGAGTTTTAAGCCATTCAAATTCACATCTGCCTACATTAATCTATTAAGTAGGTTATTGTTGATTTTTTTTTTTTTTTTTTTTTTTTTTCTGGGATTTTGTGTACAGAGTGCTGTGTTGGAACCAGCAATGCAAGGGCGAGATCTGATCGATTGCACTTGAACAAGGTTTGTTTCTCGAATCACATTCATTAGTTAGATTATTAACGTGCTTCAATAGGGGTTTTCAATATGATTTTGTAATTTCCTTGATTAGAGAACAAAAATTAATAAATGACAAGAAATGGAGCAATTGGAAACATGGCTGCAAGTGATAAGCCAGAGTCTTTGTTTTAAATAGCTGTACTACTTTTTGTCATGTAATATAAAAATGTAAATAGCACTCTCTAACTGTGCCATATCAGCATCCTCAATTTTCTCATGTAATATATGTATATAACCCTACTCTTTGGCACATATTTTCTCATGTATATATGCCCTACTTTTTACACATTTAAGACAGTTTTGAAACCCGCAGCATCGCGCGGGCTTCACTGCTTGTGTTATCTAATCTTGTTCTTATGTTTATTTTCTTCTGGCAAAATTTTATCTAAATCTGCAAAACCTCAAATTTGCAGAGTGCAGTTAGTAGCAGTAGCATATAGATTATACATACAACTCCAAGACCAGAAAACAATGGACACCATTTTTTCAGTCATGTTCATTGCCTTTCAGGTGTCCCTCTCTCTCTTCAAACCCTCACTTTCAGCTGAAGCTATTACTCAATCCCAAACCCAAAGAGATGGCAGATTTCAATTGGGTTTTTTCAAGTCTGGTGTTTACAGGAGTCTACTGGCTTCAGCTTCAAGAGACAGCTGTGACAATTCCATCCGTTGCGGCCCCAACGGAATGTGTGACATTAGCAATTCAGAAGTTTGCAGCTGCTTAAAAGGATTCCAACCAAGAGACCCTCAGAATTGGGACTATGCAGATAATTCGGCAGGTTGCGTGCGTGTTAAGCCGCTGATGTGCCAAACCAGAGATGTGTTTTTTAAATACGGGGGTGTGAAGTTGCCCGATGCCACAAATTCTCAGGTGGAACAAAGTAGGAGTGTTGAGGAATGCAAGGCAAGTTGCTTGAATAACTGTTCTTGTATTGCTTATGCAAGCTCTAGTGTCAAAGGAGGAGGTGTTGACTGCACTGTTTGGTTTGGGGATCTGATCAGCCTTAGGCAGCTTACTGACAGCGGGCAGGATCTATATGTCCGAATGCTTGCTTCTGAATCAAGTATGTCAAACCCTTATTTTCTTTCTCCTTAATAAGTATTTAGGAGTGCTAGTGACATCAAATCATTGTTTAACTGTTATACTTGCCCCGCTTTACGTTCGTCTAAACTTATCGAACCCTAATCCCTCAGCTTTATGTTCTTCTTGTAATTTTTTCATTGATGATGAGGTTGAAGTTTTAACTATAGTGTTGCTTTGCCCTGTTGAATTGACTATGGTGCAGAAAATTCATCTAAGACGAAGATAATAGCGATAGCTGTATCCACTGTTTCCATTGTTTTGGGGATTTTCTTAGCCGTCTACTACACTTACAGAAGGAGGCAAAAGTTCAAAGGTAACATTTCTTCTCTAACCACAAAACTACATTCAACTTTGTAAAACACATGTTCGTTAGTACATATATATCATCGTGTTTCCGAATTGGTAAATTCAGGTTTAGGAGTTCCCATGCAGTTTGATGTAACTGAAGCTTCTGTTTCGACACTACATGCATACAACAAAAATATGTAAAGTTTAAGAGAGTAGCTATACATGCGAGTTTGTTAAATGTTCTTAATCACTTTAGCTACAAGTCCCTTAGTAGATTTTCATATGAATGGAGCCCGGACATATGACCTAACATCCGGTTCACATATAACGTATCAAATTTAGTCCTCCACTGTTTTTTCTATTTTAGTTAAGACAACTTTTCTGATTATTGTACTTGATGATTACATTTTTCTTCTTCTTTGTATTAGAGAAACTGGGGAAAGATGGAATGATGGGTCAGAACACTGCAGGACAGAAGGAAGACCTGGAGCTACCATTGTTTAGCTTGTCCACATTAATCACAGCGACTGATAACTTCTCGTTCAACACGAAGCTTGGAGAAGGTGGTTTTGGATCTGTGTACAAGGTAAATTTCTAACATTGTGCACATAAGAAGCGTAAACTCGAGGGAAGCAACTGTTCTGTTCAAAACATCGTAATCCTTTCACTAAAGAGAATTTACAGGGTAGACTAGAAGATGGCCAAGAAATGGCGGTTAAGAGACTGTCACAAAGTTCTGGTCAAGGACAGGCCGAGTTCAAAAATGAAGTTATACTGATAGCCAAACTTCAGCACCGGAATCTTGTAAAGCTTATTGGTTGTTGCATTGAGGGAGATGAGAAATTGCTGATTTATGAATACATGCCAAACAAAAGCTTGGACTTCTACATTTTTGGTTCGGATTCTTTAGAACTTAATAATACCGTTCGAATTAGTTTTAGTACTACAAATATCGTATAATAGGTTCTAAGACTCTTGAATTTGCATCTTTGAGAATTTAAATTTTAGTGACATGGATTTAAACTTGCTAGATCAAACTCAAGGTAGAAAGTTGGATTGGTCTCGCCGCTTCCACATTATCCGTGGGATAGCTAGGGGACTTCTCTATCTGCATCAAGATTCCAGACTGAGGATTATTCATAGAGATCTTAAAGCCAGTAATGTGCTGCTTGACAAAGATATGAACCCAAAAATCTCAGACTTTGGCATGGCTAGACTTTTTGGAGGAGATCAAACTGAAGCAGTTACCAAACGAGTTGTTGGAACCTAGTAAGTATTACAATGCATCTCTGTCTTTAATCTATTATAGCATACTACTTTCATAATTGAAGTGTTTTGTTTCTTGTGACATACGACAGTGGCTATATGGCACCAGAATATGCGATGGATGGTCATTTCTCTATAAAATCCGATGTTTTCAGCTTTGGTATTTTACTGCTGGAGACACTAAGTGGAAAGAGAAGTAGAGGGTTTTATGATCCAAATCACAATCTCAACCTAATTGGACATGTGAGCATCAACTATTGAATTCCTCATTTCCTTGTGTTTGATTTTGTGACTGACGATTGGACATGATGTATGTGCCTCAGGCGTGGCGATTGTGGAAAGAAGGGCGGTCTTTAGAGCTGATTGATGAATACTTAACAGACTCGTGCAGTCTATCGGAAGTCTTGCGTTTCATACATGTTAGTCTTTTATGTGTGCAACATCTTCCAGAAGACCGGCCAACCATGTCATCTGTGGTTCTGATGTTAGGTGGTGAGAGTGCATTGCCTCCACCCAAAAAGCCAGGTTTCTTTATAGGAAAATACTCATCATCTGAAGCAGAATCTTCGAGTAAGAACGAAACATTTTCCCTTTCCGGTGTGAAAAAAGAAACATGTTCAACGATTGAATCTTCCATAACCGTGTTGGAGCCTCGATAAGATTCACTAATCATCACACAACTCGCTTTTGCATTCTGAAAATTGCAGAACTGGGAGACGAGAACTCTGACAACTATTTACATTTGTGGCAGAGCTTTGGCTATCCTTCAGATACATATTTACTAAAGGAACTGAGTGAAGCTTGGCTGCTGGGACTTAAAAGATTGGTATTGGGTTTTTATCAATTACCCGTTAAGGTTTCAGACACCTGATCCAACGGATTACTTTACTACTCGTTAGTCCAACACTAATATCATTCTCAAATTAATTACATGCACGGCCCAATAGTCAAGAGATTTTGTAAAAGACGACAACAAATTAGTAGTGTAATCATTTATGTAAATATTGTATTTTAGTAGGTCAAGTTTCCAACGTGAGATTTTATCATTTCTCCAATATCTCCATTATTACTTGCTTGAGCTCTACTCATGGACATGGCCCAGAGCCAGTAGGGCACCGTCTGGGGCCCGAAATATCGGAGGCACCAAAAATATTAAGGTACTGTATATGAGTTTTTGTTATATTCGTATATGTTGAAAAGTCTGATGGCAATGAATGCCCACACAGTATGTTAGCAGAAGTCTTCAGCATGGGCAGTAGTTTTCAATGCCCATGCAAAGTGAAAGTTGAATACATAGAGATTGTATAGTCAGACGAAGTGTCGTAAAATTTTCAAATGCATTAACTGCATCAGTTTGGAGTTGCTCTATAAATAGAGCACTCCGCATGTTTTTAAGTTACAAGGAAAAAAAAGAAGAAGTGAACAAGAGAAAAATATCAGTAACATCATCTATTTTCTCTGCTTTTATTTGTTATGTGCTTGTACTATAGTTTTAGTGTGGCATTTTACATCTACCTTGCACCTACCATTAAAAAGGTTATTCCTCTAACTTTGACCTTTTTATAACAGTATAGCTATTGTGTTGTTTGATTAGTTATCAAAGTGTTTATTTAGTAGTAGTGGTATTTGTTGCATTCAGAATGTGTGTTTGATTCCTCATAATGTCTCTCTTTCTTTATTTTTTTTTTAAAATTATTTAACAGACACATGAGCATTTTTCTTTTCTGCGGGCACCTAATTATTTCCCAATTCTTTTTTTATATAAGAATTTCCCTATTATTTTTAGTCCATGTGTATTAAAAACGAAAAAAAACTAGTAAAAGAAGAGTTCTCCCTCTTCAAGAAAATTAGTAAATGAACAGTGCCTCATTTCTAAAACGATTTAAATTTAAACTTTCTTCATCTAATTAGTTATTCAACGCCATTTTTTTTTTCATGAATCATCAAATTAACATCCAAACTCAAAACCTTGTCAGATTTTTGCAACCGTGTTGCCGCCACAAGGTGTTAGTGTTTTGTATTAGGATACTTTATATGACTTAACTCACGTGCACTACATCTGTACAACTTAAGACACACAGCTGCTATAGCAACTGTCATTCATATAGCCTATGAGCTATTTCTAATCTTATTTATTCATTACAAACAATAACATAAGAACAAATAAACCCATAAACTCAACATTTAAACAAATTGTAATATGCACAAATGCTTATATCTTTTGTACAATTTTAGGGTGTTAGAAGGTTTTCATCTCTCAATGTTTAACTCTCCAATTTATTTTATGTTAACTTTTAATCTTGACATCGTTTATTTATTTAGTCGTGCTCTTTAGATCGCATAGGTTTCCTCCCATTCGGTTGTAAGCCTTTTTTAGTTGACATAACATTATTTTCTAATTGTTAATAAAGTTAATTAATTTGTAAAAAGAATGTCTATTAATCAATCTACAAAATCACCATTTGAAATTTTACCACGAACATTTGAAAACTCAGGACCGACCCTGCTCATGGAACGGGGCAACTGGAACTCGAAACGTCTTTGCTTGGGTGCAAAGAGACTTGTGTGACAATTACGGAAATTTGCATCATTGGGGAGTCTGGTGTTTGCCAATATTTAATGGGCTTCTAGCTTTAAAACTCCACAATTAGCAAGCAAAAAGAGGCTTAATTTGTGACCAGGTGGTTGCTTATTGATTTGTTCTCATGACGATTCCACTGTTTCATTGCATGGAGCTCATTATTGTATATCATGGGTTTCCAATAATCATAAAACCTTAACACATACGATAAGATTGCTTCCACTTTGTCAAGGTGTTTTCTATTTTAAATGGCAGTGACCCATTCAACCTTCATTTATTTTATTTGAGAGAACTTTACAATTAGTCTTTGAAACTTTTACTCTAGTTTATAATTGATCATTGAACTAAAAATTTGTTAAATAACTTTGCTAAACTTAACAAAATGTGCGTCATTTGGTGGCAAAGTCTGATTCCAATGGTACATATTTTGTTTGAAAGTAGTTTTAAAATAATTAAAAGTACTTTTCACCAAAAAGGTAGAAGTGCTTTTGAGGTCAAAAAAGCACTCGATGTGCTTCTTGTATAGACAATTTTACTGGAAGTGATTTTTAAAGAAGCAATTCCAAACGAGCTCAAAGACCTCAATTAACAAACTTTTAGTTTAAGAATCAAATCCAAACTACAATGGAAGTTCAAGAATCAATTTTAGGAACAGCGCACAAATCATTAGGAGCAAGAGTAAATGCTATTAACTACTTCGACTATAAGGTCTTTGCTAACAACAACAATCGAATTTACAATTTGAATATAAATATAACAGGCAGAAGAAAAACTGAACAATAAACTAGGTACACGATGCAAGAATAAACGCTCTTAATTAAAGAGGAAATGATTAGTGAGCAAACTAATCAATCATAGCAGTTGATAATATCATCCTCTACTTAAGGAAAAGAGATTGAAATTTAAGAAAAGACTTAGAGTGGGTCAAATAAGCAAAGAAGAATCTCCAAAAGAGCCCATAAATTATTTCTAGATCATAAAATGGGCTCAATACACAAGACCTGGTCAAATATAAATAACACATTGGACCTTCAAAATTCCACAAACTCTGCCCCAACACAACACAAAAAAACAAGCACAACTTGGAGCACTTAAACAATAAAACAAAGGGAAATAATGAAGTGAGACAGACCGAGACCAGAAAAACCCCCAAACCACCACCACCACCACCGAGACCGAAAAATAAAAAACAATGGAGAACGGTCACGATTGGAAAGTCGCGGAGAAATTCTCAGAGTTGACGGTTTCCGCCGCCGACCCAATTCCTTCTTCTACCCCCACCGCCACCCCAAACAATCAAGACAGCAGCTTGATTCAGGTTATGAACGCCATGGAAGCTGCGGAGGCCACAATCAAGCAGCAGGTGGAAGAGAACATCCGATTGAGGAATCAGCTCGAACACAAGATTCTCGAGTTGCACAGGTACAAGCTCCACGAATCCATGGCTGCCCAGTTGCCGCCTTCTGCCGGCGGATCTCAGGACCAAGCTCATCAGGTAGTTGCCCCCGGCGTCGACAATCGAATCGAGAGGATTGCGAATCACGGTTCTGCACAGCATAGTCGCGGGGAATCGGAAACAAGAGAGACCCAATTGGGCGGCGGCGAAATCAATGGAGGAAAGGTGGTTCGGGTTTCGGGTACTCCGCGGGCGGCTGATAACGCGAGCAGCGGGATATCGAGATTGTCGTCGCCATCCACCACGACGTCGTTTTCGCCAGGTAGGTCGAGCACGGAGGGGGATTACGGAAATGGGTTGATGCCATTGACCGAATCGAACAACCCTAATAGCAGCATGTGGAAGAAGGATCTGGTTGGTAGGGTTCATGAGCACGAGCAAGAAATTACGCAATTGCGAAAGCATTTGGCGGATTATTCAATCAAAGAGGCGGAAATTCGGAACGAAAAGTATGTGCTGGAGAAGCGCATTGCTTACATGCGCTTGGCATTTGATCAGCAGCAGCAGGACCTTGTGGATGCTGCATCAAAGTCTCTATCTTACAGGCAAGACATAATTGAGGAGAACATTCGGCTCGCTTACGCCGTGCAGGATGCGCAGCAGGAGAGATCCACGTTTGTTTCGTCTTTGCTGCCGATTCTGGCTGAGTACTCGTTGCAGCCACCCGTCCCCGATGCGCAATCAATTGTTGGTAATGTGAAGGTTTTGTTTAGGCATTTGCAGGAGAAGTTGCTTCTTACTGAGTCCAAATTGAAGGAGTTGCAGTATCAGTTAACGCCTTGGCGATCAGATTCGAATCAGCAGCCTAATAATGTTAATGTTTCTGCACCGCAGTTATCACCACCGCCGCCGCCACCGCCGCCACCAACTCAGTCCGTTGCTGGAGCAGCATTGCTGAATGTAAGCAGAAATGCTCTTGAAATGGTTGCTCAGAATCAGCAAGCATATTCATACATTGGTGGAAGCAGGGCGCTTGCTACCTCTGATGCTCAGACAACCCAGGAATGGAATCCTCATCAGCAGAGTGGTTTTGGTGGGGTTGTCGCCAACAATGTGGAACACAATGACCTGGGCATGGGGAATAGGTATTCCCCTGATCCAAACCGGATTATTGCTGCCCAAGATGTACCCATTAATCATGCTGTTGTTCCAGGTGATACGCAAGGAAATCGGCATAATGAAGTAACAAGCAATAGACAGGTGACATTTCGTGATCCTATCAGGAACACACACAGAGAGATGGATGATCAAGATGCAGAGGGAAACCACAATGAGAGAGATTCATCCAATTGGAGTGCAGGAACATCTCCTTATGCATCGCCACACAACGAATCCAGCTCCGCGTATCCCCATTTCCTACCGCCAGTTATGGAAGAGGGTTCTTCATCGTATTCAGAGGCTGCAGATGATGACCCATTACCAGCTATAGAGGGCCTTCAAATATCGGGTGAAGCTTTTCCAGGACACGAGCTTCAAGCATGCGGATACTCCATCAACGGAACAACCAGCTGCAACTTTGAGTGGGTAAGACATCTCCAAGATGGATCAGTTAACTACATTGACGGAGCAAAGCAACCGAACTACCTTGTAACTGCTGATGATGTGGATTCATACCTTGCTATTGAAGTTCAGCCTCTGGACAACAGGAAGCGAAAGGGGGGGCTCGAAAAGGTGTACGCCAACGGCCACAAGAAGATAACTTGCGACCCCGAAGTGCAATCTCAGATAGAGAAGATTCTTCACAAGGGCCAGGCCTCATTCAAAATATTCCTCTTCACCGGGTACATCGACATATGGGAGCCTGCAACACTGGCCATAAAGAGGGGAGCTTACAGCATAAAGGGCAGTGGAGGCCCGAGTGGAAGCGGAGTTGTAGTTGCAGAGAAGTTTTCTCCGAACACAATTGTCACAATCCCATATGGAAGTACAAACGAATTCATAATCCATAGCGGCTCCGATAACGGAGGTGAGTATGTGTTGAAAACGGAAGATGAGAGCTGTTCTAGAGATACAGTTGTGCTTACATTGAGATTGTTTATTCATAGGGCTGATGAGAGAAAGACTACAAAGAAAGGGAAAATAGGGACTTACTTTTTCAACAAGTATTTGTAGTAGGTGTTTCTTTAGGCTCAGAATTCGCCGCGAGTGTCTGTTGTTATTTGTTTTTAGGCTAGTTTGGGTGTCCATTACATAAACATAATTTTTGGGATGTTGGGTGTGCAGTTGAAATCTGAATTTTTCTCGGTAGCTTTTTGAGCAATTTTTTTGTGTGATAATTTATTCACCAAGAAGCGAAACAGATGAACTAAGAAACCAGTAGATAGTAAGCAGAGATGTTATGCGTACTTACTAGCTTTCGACCACTTTTCTTGTCACTCCTTCAGTCTGATCTCCTCCCAACATTCTAGCCAAGCCGAAGTCTGAGATTTTCGGGTTCGTCTCCTTATCAAGTAAAACATTACTCGCTTTAAGATCTCTGTGAATAATCCTCAATCTGGAATCTTGGTGAGAGACTCTTCACAGCAATTTCTTGCCCATCTTCTAGTCTACCCCGAAAATTCTCATTAGCGTAAGGATGGATCTCACATACAGGAAATTTAGCTTGCATACAGATCCAAAACCACCTTCTCCCAGCTTCCTGTTGAATGCTAAGTTATCAGTGGCCGTGACTTTTCCCACGGACTAAACAATGGTAGCTCCGGGTCTTCTTCACGTCCTTCGTTTTTCTTCCCTGTTTTCTCTAATATAAAGAGAAACTGCATATCTATGAATGAGAAAAAAAAGATCAATGCATTAGAGTAACTACATATCTATTGAGTAAGCCATACCAGAGTAATTGCTCAAGCAAATGTCCCTGCATTCGACGAGACTCGGACTTTGGTTGGCCCGGGACTTTGTGGTATCTGGCAACTTCACCCAAACCATATTTCACAAACCCATGTTTCTTTTGGCAGCTCAAACGTTGAGTGGTTGAGTCCGCACACAACCTTCTTGGTACTCTCCAAAGCTCCATTTTTCTGGTGCTTTCGGCTCGAATCCTTGGAAGCAACAGCAAACTGGGGATTTAGTAGTGCCAAAAGACTCGTACCGGATCGATAACCAAAACTTCGCTATAGGTAGTTTCTCGGGTTTCCATGTTTTGCTTCTCTTAGGACAAGATTGCCGGAATCCAAGAGCTGGAACACCGGATTCCGAGGATGTTTGGACAAAGATATTGACCAGGCAACAGCACTGCCTGATGTGTTAATCATATAAAAACCAGATGAATAATTGATTGGGTTGTGCTAGTTTACAACCGAAGTAACATTTGGGAGTGATGGGACTGAACTGTTGTGCCAAATTCCCAAGAAGCACTTCTGGGAAAAGCCGAAATCTGGGGGACTACAAAAGCCCAGTACAAAACTGCCATGTTGGAAATCAAGGTGCTGCCATGGCATCTCTGATCCGTTGGGATTTTTAAGTAATGGAATCAGCTAGAACTGAGGGTTTGAAGAAAGCGGGGCAAACAAATTCCAACAAAAATGAAGGAAAAAACATTTTTATTTTCCATTGACTTTCTCATTTGAGTCTTATACAATTGCAGATGTTTTGAGATTGCTAGATACATACAATGAAATTGTAGGGGGTGTGTATCTAAAGGGGAAAATAGAGTAATGCTAGAGTAATTCTAGACCAAATTTCTTAACCATGTGATGTGTCATCAATAGGAAATAAGCATATTAATCAACATTTAAATAATAACCCAATCATCAACAACTATGTTATATAGTTTATGAAATTTGGTCTAAATAGGTGGCATCACTGTGGGCTATACAGCGCTGGTTTGATATTGTTGTGCTTTGAAAAAAAGTTGAGGAATTTCAACAAATGGTAGAAAGTTGGAATTTTGAATATATTTTTTTTAACGAACAATATTATTAACACTAAAGGAGTTGGGGAGTGAGTTAAACCTCACAATAGGCTAATAATATTGTGGTTCAAATTCCTTTTTAGCGAGAATCGAACTTAAGATGTCTCACACACAAGTGAAGAGGAATATCACTAGCCCGTAGTACTAAATAACAAAATTCTGAATATTTTTCATTGTTGTTATACTACCGTGTAATTGTATTTCTCTTTAGTTGTATGTGAGATGCTTTAAAATTGTAGCACATATCTATTCTAACTATTCTATTAAGAGAATAGGCCTTGTCAACTTTTTACCCTTTTTTTTTTTTTCTATTTTGCCCTCATTTTTGATGCACAATGTTGACAAGAGGAGGGCAAAATAGTAATTTTGTATCTTTTTCCCTTTTTCCCTTTTTTCCTAGTTTGCCCTCACTTTTGATACACAATATTTACATAAAAAGGGCAAAATAGTATTTTTGTATCAAAATATTTACATAAGATAAAAAATATGCACTTACTAAAAGAAATTGTCCCATCATCATTTTTTCATACACGTAAGTGAAATCATGATGTTTTTTGGATAGTTTGAATGAACTGAAGCGGTTGCGTTTGAGGAGAACGTAGGAGGAGGTGGGTGGTTGAAGAGACTTTAATTTTGTACCTTTTGTCAAAATGACAATCATATCCCTATTTTTCCTAATTTACTCTCATTTTTTGAGAAAATGACAATCATATACCTATTTTTCTTATGACAAAACAATAATATGTAATATTAAGAAAAAAATATGTACTTATTAAGAGAAATTGTTCACATACACAAAATGTGTGCTCTCTGCTAGTACGATTTATATTAACTTATTCTTTCATTCAGTCATTCTTGGAGTAAATATATTATTGTGTATAATAAACAACAACAATTAGTTTCCATTGCTCAATGGATTGGGCTCTTTTAGAGTCAGTAGTTTTTTTTGGGGTCAAATATTGTCATTAATTTACTTGTTCAACGAGCACTAGCGCAGAGGGCCCTATTGCAAAACGTTGGAGTCCATACAGCAAATGATTCATAAATCTATGCTCCTCTTCAGCTTTGTTCTCAAAATTTATTTTGAATAAATGTTTGATAGGAAAGCATAGAGATGTAGTCTGAGATGAATAAGATGATCCTTATCGAGCCTCCAAAAGCGAGATCGATAATTCGTTGGTTGAACATGTCTGATTACCTGAATTAGAACCTGCTTCAGGTGTTCCCTTTTCCATGAAGAAACCGGGTTGTTTCGGCTGAGCCAAAGCAGTCTCACTTCCCAACATTATAACCACAGCCGCCATGCTTGGCCTATCGTCAGGATCATGTTGCGCACATAAGAGACCAATGTTGATGCAACGCAACACTTCCGATAGCGTGCCTGAGCTTGCTAAGCATGTATCAATCAGTTCTAAAGGCTTCCCTTCATTCCACAATCTCCATAACTGAAACAAATCAAAACTCCATCGTCAATTGCCGCTCTCAATAGGAACGATACAATTACTAATGATACTTGCCTGTTCAGAAAGGTTACGGCTGTTGCTTGGATCGAAGAATCCTTTATTTTTCCTTCCAGTAACGATCTCCAGCACCAAAATACCAAAGCTAAAGACATCGGATTTCACAGAAAATTGCCCGCCCATAACATATTCGGGTGCCATATAACCGCTGTAGAAAGTAGAGACATCATACAGGAGTGTGAACAAAATAAACAACTGACGGGGACTAGTAGTTGATCGGGGGAATATTATACAGCAAACTTACTACGTGCCAACTAATCTCTCTGTATTTGCTACAGTCGAATCTCCTTCAGTCAATAATCTAGCTAGGCCAAAGTCTGAAATTTTCGGATTCATTTCATTATCAAGTAAAACATTACTTGCTTTGAGATCTCTATGAATAATCCTTAGCCTAGAATCCTGATGGAGATAGACGAGACCTCGAGCAATGCCACATATAATGTTGAAACGTTTAGGCCAATCGAATGGTTCTCTTCTCGTTTCATCTGGCAAGTTAAATCCAAATTCAACTTCAATTTTCAATACAAATTGCTTAATGGCCTATATACGATTATTATTTTAAAGCAACCAAGCAATAATTATAAACTTATAGGGTCCAAAGGTTCAAACCAAAAATGGAGGAGTCTAGGCTTCCGTTGGGCATGTATTCGTAAAGTAGCAATTTCTCCTCTCCTTGAACGCAACAACCAAGAAGCCTTACCAGATTTCGGTGCTGGAGTTTGGCAATCAATCTAACTTCATTCATGAACTCGTTCAATCCTTGGCCAGAACTTCTTGAAAGTCTCTTCACAGCAATTTCTTGTCCGTCGGCCAGCGTCCCCTGGAAAGTTACTCAATTTCCAAAATTGTGAAAGTCCTCATGGAATGATTCTTTGTTAGTCTGTTCATTATTGTAGAGTAAATTAGAAATCTACCTTGTAAACAGGGCCAAATCCACCTTCTCCGAGCTTTTTATTGCTTGAAAAGTTATCCGTGGCGCTAGCTACTGTCATCAGGTCAAAGAGTGGGAGCTCCATGTCCCCTCTTGGAGCCCCTTCGTTGTCCTCATTTCTTTCCCTTATTTCTGTGATGGAGTTCCTGTTAGCTATAGCCTAGATGTAGTAAGCAAACTAAAACTTAAATTTGCAGATAGATTACATCCCCTTCCCTCAAAAACGCATATCGAAACACAAACAAAATTGACAAATGCTTGAAGGATGGTCAGGGTAAAGCTAACATACCTTTATTTTTTCTCTTTCTTCGGCGAATGACATAGCCAACTAACAGCACTCCGGAAAACACTATTGCTATGCCAACAACTACAGTTGCAATCTTCACTTTTCTGCTGTTTTCTCCTTCATTGTTGAATGATTAAGTAAAGCAAACAAATTTAAAATGGAGCAAACAGAAAAACAATAGCAGGGTCAGTTCAACTTTGCGAGAAACAAAACCAACTTCTTATTGAAACATGTTGAAAAACAATAGTTGAACTACAAGTGACATAAAATTATAAACACGAAGCTCTTTTTGTATAGTTCGATACCTATATCAGCAGCTGACGTTCGAATATATATTTCCTTTCCAGCAACAGGAACCTGTTTGATATCTATTAGATCACCAAACCAGATGGTGCAGCCACTACTTCCTCCTCCGATATCTGAGCTCGTATAAGCAGTACAGGAACAGTTTTTCAAGCATTTGGCTCTGCATTCCTTGAGATTCATACTTTTGTCCACCCAAGAATTTGTAGTATCTGGCAATTTGAAGCCATCAAATTTGAGAAACTCATCTTCATCTCTTTCGTGGCAGCTTAATGGTTTATTGCGCACGCAACCTAGAGACCAGTCTGATAAATTCCACTTTTCTTGAGACTTGGGGCTGAATCCTTGTATACATTTGCAGACCGGATCCTCACTGGTACAATTTCCATTGGCTCCACAGAAGCCATAATAATCACATGATTCTGTAGGTCTTGATGAAAAATCCTGCCAAGCTTGATCTCCCACCTTCCACTGAAACCGAGCACATGTGCTGGTGGTTTGGTTCAAAACCACTCTTGAGAGAATCGACTCAATCTTCGGTTTGTATGTGACGTAAACTTCGTCGTCGTTGTAGACAAAATTGAAACTATAACGAGGGCTAGGATCTTCGGGTGAACCACAGATTGTCAGTCCATTCCATGCGCTGGTGCGAAAGAATTTTGTACTTCCGTTCAGAATATATGCCTCAGGATATGCTTGATGTTCCATTCCAATTCCGTAAGTAAAATCTCCGGGACACGGGTCGTCTGAATTTTTCCATGCTGACAAATGCCGTTTTAGGCCTGTTCTCAAGTCCCACCCCAACTTCATTCCTGGTAATAATGTATCAGAAGGATGGTCGAAGCTTTGCCACAAATGAGTTCCTGAATTTCCATCTTTTGCATCTCTCAGTACCAAATTCCCGGAATCCAAGAGCTCTACCGTCGCATTTTGGGCCTGTTTAACTAAACTCGGCGACCAAACAACGCTGCTATTCTGACTCAAAAGCACAAGATTACCTGTGCTGTTTATCATCAACACGCCGGAAGAATCATTGATGGGGTTGCATCTGTTTGCAACCCAAACAACCGTTCTAACCGGGACATTCTTGAACCAAATTCCCAAGTAACGGTTCTTGGAACTACCTGGACTAAAGAAACCGAGCTCAAAGCTCCCATCACTTGAAACCAACGTCGTTCCATCAAGGACAGACTGGGAAGGTGTAATGCCGTCAACTGCAAGGGAAATTGTTGATGACAAGAAGAACAAGTTAGCGCTGATCATAAACGAAAAACAAAGACCACCCATAAAATATTTCTTCTTGTGCTCCCTCTCCTTGACAACTGATTTGATTCAAGTACAAGATAATTGAGAAAACCCCTTGTGGTTTCATTCACTGGCGAAGCTACGGCACAGCAAGGACTGAGAACCAGAATCCGCCCCTGTGCAGTCGCTGCTTTTGTGCGTGAAGAGCACCTGAAAAGAATCAGAAGACCACAAATTCTGAGGAGCAGGAATTCGAAGCCCTGAAAACAACGACCTCTTTTTTTTTTTTTTTTTGGAAACTGAAAACCACGACTTACAGAGGAGATTTGGTTGGTTGCCTAACTTCTTTGATTAGGAGGAAAACCAGAAGATGAGGGCGTTAATATTTCAAGGAAAACACGGTCGTCTTTTGCTTTTGATTTTTTTGCTAAAATTGGTACTGTATTTGTCGTGATATATCAAAATTGCCACTGGACCTTCAAGTTTGCCATGCAATCTGCAAAGAATGAACCTTGAGGCCTTTTTTATTGTTGATTTTGTTTGTTGCTTTCGTTAAGAAGACATTGTAATATACCAGAACAAAACTGTCCCAAGCAAGTTTACTTCATTATTTTGAAAAAAATGAAGAAGTGAAGATGTTAATTACTATGCGAGCGAATCTGTAATTTTGTGTTCATATATAAAATTGTCTTAATGATAAGGATAATTTGTCGCTTGAAAAAAAAAACGGGTCTACAATTGATTCAATCATATGATATCTTTGTTCCAATAGAATTCTCTTCAGATCTTTTTAACGAAGATTCGATTCGTAAATTATGTTCTTACATTGTGTGATTAATTTTTGTCGATCATTATTTATATTTAATTTTAAATAAAAATATTTATAATAATCCAAACTCCAACGTGTTGTGGTACAGAAGTCACATTTCGAGAATTAGTAAGCGCTGACTAGTCTTCCAGCATTTATTGGCAACTCTCCAGTCTAAATTTTTATATTTAAAAAAATGATTCAACGTTTAGATATTTCCCTTCACGGCTGCTACTGGTTTGAAAAATTAACGGTGAAGATTTGTATAAAGATCCGATAGAATTTCATAAGAATTATATCTTATATCAAAATCAAATCACTAAATAATGAGGCAAAATCCCAACATTTGACCTTTGATATTTTAGTAGCATAATATCCCGATTGCATGGATAATAACAGCGCTATTTTTTTCACTTTCGCCCTGCTACAAATTTAATTACAATATAAATTATTCTTATTAAAAAATTTAAATTAAATATCATTTAACAATCTAAACGCATTAAATAAAAATAAAAATAAAAATAATGCAGTGTGTGAAAACGCATTAAAATCATTCATTCAACATTTATCAAAACAACCGAATCACCTGAGGATGAAGAACAAAGTATGTGTCAAGTTGTCAACTGTCAATTGCATTTCTGTAATTTTCTTTCCCAGTAATTCCGTAGGGACAAATTACAATCACCGAGGATAAAAACATAAAAAACCCAGATCAGAGAATCTCTATATATCTAAAAGAACAAAATCCCAAATCAGTGACGATGTTTAAACTCGTGTTGAAGAGCACCTTCGAGCCAGAGTCTGGACTCGTCCATGAGCTCAGGACTCAATCTAAACATGAGAACGCAGAACTCCATCTGATTGAGAGCGCCATCTCCGTCGAAATCACCTTCGTCCACCATGGACCGTAGATCGTCGTCGCTCAGATCCTGCAACCCCAGAAGAGCAGAGTTCCTCTTGAGACTCTCCAAGGTGATGACTCCCTTGCTAGAATCCACCAACAAATTGAACCCGTTACAGAGCTCGCCTATTAAACCGTCCCCGCCAAGCTTGTCGGCCATGGTGGGCAACAAGTCTTGGAAATTGGATTGCTGGTTTTGCTGGGAAGCCATTGACAATTTGGAGGAGAGAGAGAGAGAGGAGTTAGAAAGATGATGAGTGAGAGAAAGGGTATGCTTGTTGGTGGGGAAAGAGAGAAGTGGGGGAGTACATAAAGGGAGGGCGGGTTGGGTTTTCCAAGAAAGAGAGGCCATGCGAGACAACTCAGGTCCAGAGAAGGGGGAGTCAGTCGGTCTGTTGTTTTGTTGAAGCTGCCATTGGGGTTTCTGAGAAAGTGACGAAGGGTAGGATTGTCATCAAAGCGCGTTTAAGGAGTGGATGAGGGGAATGATGGTCTTTCGGGTTGGAGAAAGAATATCGGTGAAGGAGTCAAAAGAGGATGGTGCTCAAGGGTAAATCCGTCACTTAGGAGGAAGGTGTCTCAATCTTTCTATTTTCCTTAAATTATATAGAGGAAAAGAGAGAGGGTGGGATCTTGGACTTAGTACTTAGTAGGGAAGCTTAGTCCATAAGTATTTGCCTATTTCCATCCTCTTTCTCACGTAATACCATTTTTTTTTTTAACAAATGAAATTATCTACACTAAAAAGGAGATAGTGGGTTTAGCTTCACAATATGCTAGCAATAATATGATTCAAATTTTCCTCTGGTGAAAATCCTTATAAGTGAAAAGAAATAACACTAGACTGTAGTACTAAGTGATCACGTAATATCCTTTTGTTATGTGTAGGGTGGAAGTTTGTGACAGCAATTGCATCATAACCTCAAATAAGTTACAAACAAATTTAGGGTTTGTTTGGTATTCTATTTGAATTTAATTTTTGAAACTCAAAAATATTTTTCAAGTTTAAAGTGTTAAAAACTTGTTTAATAAGATTGTTTTAAAAAAAAAAAACTGAATTCAAAACTAAGTTAAGAATTAATCTATTTCTTAAAAACATAAAAAAAAAATATTTTTTTGAGTTTTCAAATTTAGATCTCACTTTTTCTCTCTTCCCTTTCCTTTCACACCTGATATGTTCTCTTTTATCTTTATCATTTCTCACTCCAATTTTGTCTCCTTTGATTCTCTCTTACTTCTCTCTCCTCCGAGTCACTCTCCTATTTCTTTCTCTTTCTTTCTTTGTTTCTTTCTTTCATTCTCTCTCCTCGTTCTCTTTGTTGAATTTAGAAGTTGCCATTGTAGGATGAATATTTTTTTTTTCTTTAAAAACAATTGTGAATTTCATACCAAACAAGTTTTTGAATTTAAAAAAAAATTGGTCTTAAAAAGATGTTCTTAAGAAATGTTTTGTAAAATGATTTTTTTTTTTAATATAATACCAAAAAGACCCTTAGGGTTTGGACTATAACTATTATTTTCACTTTAAAATAGTTTTTATGCACTTCTCTCTGCAAATATGAGAAATGATAATTGCAGAACAATTATTTTAAATTGCTAATAACAATATTTTATCATGATTTGTGTATAGTATTATATATAGTTGCGAACGATTATCATGGAATGTTTTAGCCCGAAATTTTTAACGATTGATTTTTAGCCTAATCTTTTCAGGGACTTTTGTAAAATAAAATTTATTTAGACAATTCTAATTTTTTAATAAACATTTTAACTTAAATATATTTAAATTCTAATAAATAATGAAAAATCATTAAATGTGACATCCTACATTGCCTAGGGGAGTGATCCTTATATGTATATTCTTATCCCTATCTAGCATGAGGACTTTTGGGAGCTTACTGGCTTCGGGTTTCGTAGGAACTCCGAAGTTAAACGAGTTCACACGAGAGCAATCCCATGATGGGTGAACCACTGGGAAGTTCTCGTGTGAGTTCCCAAAAACAAAATCGTGATGGTCGGGGCCCAAAGTAGACAATATCGTGCTATGGCAGAGTCTTGCCCGGGATGTGGTGGGGGCTCGGGCCAAGATGTGACAATTTGGTATCAGAGCCTAATCCTGGTTGCGTGTATGTCGACGAGGACGTCGGGGCCCTAAGGGGGGTGGATTGTGACATCCCACATTGCCCAGGGGAGTGATCCGTGGATTGTTACATCCCACATCGGCCAGGGGAGTGATCCTTATATGTATATTCTCATCCCTACCTAGCATGAGGCTTTTTGGGAGCTCATTGGCTTCAGGTTCCATAGGAACTCCAAAGTTAAGCGAGTTCGCGCGAGAGCAATCCCATGATAGGTGACCCATTGGGAAGTTCTCGTGTGAGTTCCCATAAACAAAACCGTGATGGTTTGGGCCCAAAGCGGACAATATCACACTAAACCTACCCCATTTTTAAACACAAATACATAGGTGGGTAAAAAGAAAAAGAAGAAGAAGAATTGTTTGACGAAAGTGAATTTTGTGTAAATGTGTGAGCACATAAGTAGGTATTTTTAGAGTTCTAGGTGAATTTTAATTTAAATAATATTTTTAATTGTTTTAGCAGTTGGATATAATTTTTGGTTGTTAGATCTTTTTTTAATGGTAGAATTACTCATATTCGATCTCAAACCGTTGAATTTAATGTCTTTATAAATTTGCTTTAAAAAAATTGAATCTGGACCATTGGTTGTGGTCCATTAGATAAAAAATAATAATCGTGGGTTTTTTCGCAAGTGGCCGACAACGTCATCAATTCAGTCCAGTGCTAGGTCCTAGCCATTCATTTTGGCTCATTTTTGGGCTAAATTTGGCCAAAAAATAAGTTTTAACTCAAAACCTATTTTTAGCCAGATGATTGAGGAAGTTTTGGGTGAGTTTAAAATTTAAATATTGAATTTTTACCCAATCATTGTAGTTACTCTTAACATGTTTGGGTATGTTCGGAAAAAAAAGGGGTTCACACCTCCCAATTCCAATTTTCACATGCTAAAGCTAGTTTGGTCCACTTTAAATCATGTTTCCGTCCCTATCGCCGGCTTACTGATCATCTAGACCACCATTGTTAGCATCTCACTTGACGGCCCTTTGCGACTTATGCAATGCATTGCAAAAGATTTTTGTTTTTGAACAAATGAGATTACCTATACTACGGGGGAGGAGGTGAGCTTAGTCTCATAATAAGTTAGCAATAATGTGGTTCAAATTCTCATTTGGTGAGAATTGAACTAAGATCTCTCACTTATAAGTGAATAGGAATACCACTAGACCATAGTACTAAGTGGCGTATTGTGAAGTATTTTGTTTAGAGGTGGGTACGGGCTGGGCCGGGCCCAAAATTGAAGGAACCAGACCGAACTCTTTTGTAATTAACACGGGGAGGGACGGGGCGGGTTTTGGATTTAACTGAGATTTGGACCTAACTCGACCCTTTTGAAATGGGCTGGTTCCTACGGGTCCTACGATAGCGAGGTACAGACATCAAATCCTTTTCTTTCCCCTCTCTTTCCCTCTACACACACTTTCTCTCACTAAAGCTCCCTTATTTTTTATGGAAGATGACGACGAATTCGAAGATCTCTACACTGACGTTCTTCGACCCTTCGAATCGTCCGAACTATTGTCATCATCTGCACTGCATCCCCATCAATCCTCCGTCGCGCCCCAATCTTTCCACCGTCTGATCGATCCCAATGTCCTCGACGAAGAGGACAATATCCTTTTTGTAACTCTGCACTCTAATCCTTCTGTTTCTCACCCGCCCAATTCCCAAACCCTAGCTCC